AGAAGAAGAAGAAGAAGAAGAAGAAGAAGAAGAAGAAGAAGAAGAAGAAGAAGAAGAAGAAGAAGAAGAAGAAGATAGAGAAGAAAGCCATGTGAAGACAAAGGCAGTTTGGAAAGAGGCAACCACAAGCCAAGAAGTGCCAGCCGGGACTTCCCAAAAGCCGCCATACCAGGAGGAGAGGGAGGTTTCTCTTCCCTACCACACTCAGAGGACGCCTCGGTGTCCATCCCTGATGTCATGCTCCTGCCCCCAGAGCTAGAAGAGTAAGACTCTGCCATTTTAAGCTGCCCAGAATGAGGTAACGCACATGTCAGCTCTAAAAACCTAATGTACCCACCAATATAAAAGTCCTGGGGGCCAGGGTATAGCCCAGCGGCATGAGCTCCCATCTGGCGAGTGTGAGGCCATAAGTATGATTCTCGGTACCAAGAATAAAAGATCCCGAGTTTGTGCATGTCACTGCCAAGGCAGACATGTTAGGAAGCAGGAGCGGACAGGGAGGGGTGGCCAGGGGCCCCTAAACTGGGGAGCCCGCGAAGCTATCGCATCCCCAGCTTCATGGCCTGCCTATGCGCCTACCTGAGAAGAAGTGGGCCCGGAAGCCACGCTTGGAGACGGTGTTGTCGGATTTGAACTCCACGCGCATGTTGTTGCTCTGGGAGGTGATGACGTCAGGCATCTCGGAGCCACAGAATTTGCCATGCAGCCTGGCTTCAGGGGACAGGCCGCTGCGTACCTCCACAAAGTCGTACTTACAGACCTGCGAGGGAATAGGCAGACAGCACATCCTCACCCCAGCGCCCTTGCTGATGGCTGCACCTGCACGTGGCTGGGGGTACACAGAGAAGCCCAGAGGGGGTCCCCTGGCCCTCACTGCTGGTTCTGAGGTAAGCTGGGGGGAGCCCAAAAAGCACACTGCCGGGCATAAGAAGTCAGAGCTCCAAAGCCTGCATCTGCCTCACTCGGAAGCATAGCCTCTCCCCACTCTCTGCATTAGACTTCCCAATCATATTCTGCCTAAAGAAAGGGGCCCACTGCTAGGAGGAAGAGGAGGAGGAGGAGGGGGACGGGGAGGGGGAGGGGGAGGGGGAGGAGAGGAAGAGGGAGAGGGGGGAGGAGGAGAGAAAGCAGAGAGAGTAGCAAGGGAAGAAGGAAGGGAAGCAGGAAACTTTTGCAAACCACTTCAACTCCATTAGGTCTTCATGCAGAGAAACTAAAGCTCGGAAGGAGACGTATACCCGCAGCCGTCACGGTGAAGCCAGGACTAGCATCATGTTGCCTGCTGTAGCAATAATTCCTCTCAAAAAGAACCTGACGGCTACATTGTGCGATCAATTTCCTTTAGAGACTTCTCTTCCTGCAGTATTCCATTCGGGGTGAGCTCCTCACTGGATCAGGGTCACTGGCCATAGCATCTCTTCCAAGTGCCCCGAAGGCCTGAACGGTCAGCTGAGACCCAGGCCAGGCTGTTTTTAAGATGAGCATCTCTTTGCAGCTGGGGCCAAAAAGAGGGGACTGGAGAGACTCCTGTCTGTCCTGGAGAGGTCCCTCGAGCCCAGGTGAGATCCAGGGCCCTGGTGCCTAGCGGTCTGGCTGTGGGGTTCCTGGCCTCACCTGGCTTGGTCCCTATGACCCCTCCCAAGACAGGAGCAGGCTATCTCTAGTATCCTTCTCTCTAGAGGGTCCCTCACTCTGCCATGCCCCTCAGCTGGGCAAAAAGTCCCAGATTCACCCCCAGGGTTCAGACCTGTCCTGCCTCCACCCGACACCTGGCCCCTTCATGCTGGTCTCAGCTCTCCTTGGATTACCAGTGACAGGAGGGGCTGAGGTGCTCCAGCTGCTGGATGCGACATCCTCCTAGATTCTGCCTGGCTAAGGTTCAGGGATCCTGGAGTGGCAGTGCTGACACCAGCCCTCTCCCTCCCATGACCCGCCCCGCCACCCAGTCACTACTGACACAGTCCCCACCACCCGGAGCACACACGTACATCATTGCCTTCCAGGTCAAACACTTCAAACTGCAGGGAGATGCGGAACTGCGCGGGGGCCACCACCTGCCAGACACAGTTCTTGTTCATGGGGTACTCCTTCGGCCACCCGGGGCTGGTGATGGTTCCGTTCAGCTTGGTGATGAAGCCGCCGCAGGCCACTGCATGGGAGAGGCAAATACAAGCTTCATTTGGTTTTAGTTCCAAGTGACTGCAACTTCCCCCGAGCAGCAATTAGCCCTGCTGTTCTTTGATAATGAAAACAAACTTAGACAATCCAAACTGATTCACTCAGTGCCCTGTTTTCTAGCCTAATTGTTTCAACTGAGGTTTGGGGACAACAAAGTTGGAGATAAATCTTCACTGCTTTTAAACATGACAGTGATGCATTTGACCTGTCACAGGACCTGGCCTGCGTGAGCAAGCAGATTCGTGCAGGTGGCTGAGGCACCCAGGAGCCAGCAAGAGAAAAGGGACAGGGGAAAGGACTGGCCAGCAGAGTCCCGCAGAGGACTCACAGATGTTCTGTACTTCTATTTCCTTCCTTAAAAATCACTGTGAGCTTTACATGGTCGTGGAGGAAAAGGAACTATGCCCTGATTCCAGTTTCTTTCTTTCTTTCTTTTTTTTTTTTTTTTTTTTTTTTTTTTTTTTGGCAGAACCGGGGATTGAACTCAGACCCTTGCACTTGCCAGGGAAGCGCCTATTCCACTGAGCCATCTCCCCAGCCCCTCTGATTCCAGTTTCTAGGGTGAAGTCTGTGCAATTTTGGGCATCCGTTCACATTTATGACCTACCAGTGCGCCTGTCTCTCCAGGGACGAGGTGGTCCGCTAGCCCATCTGTCCATAGTGGCTCCCAGCTCTCCAGCCTGCCCCCTCTGCCCTCTCCCACCTGCCACTCCAGCCAGCAGGTCCAGCACCCACCTTCGCATGCCTTCTTATCAGCAGCCAGCTCATAGCCAGGGTCACACGCACACTTGTAGCTGCCGAGCGTATTCACACAGCGCTGCTCACATCCGCCGTGGTCTGGCCAGGCGCACTCGTCCACCTCTATTGGGGAGGGACAGCCACCTTGGTTAAGTGGTCACACAGCCCATCCACACCCTAGGGCACCTGGCTCATGGTCTCTAAGAACTGGAGAGCCCGCAGAGTTGCGTGTCCACAGTTGAAAAACTGGCAGCAGGGAGATTCTGACAATGCACTAATACCGGGACAGCCAGAACAGAGCTCTGTTCAAGGGAACCAGGCCTGTAAAATGAAATTCTAGGAGGCATCGGGTCAGCAGTGTGAGTGGGTGACTGCACAAACACCTCCCAAGGTTCTGGCTGAACTTGTGTACCATCAGTTCAGTGCCTGACACTGGAGAATCTCTCCCTCATAAACGTAGGCCTCCTCACGTGGAGGACCACCTGAGCTGCTCTCCTTGGAAGAAGAGCGACTGTCTCCATTTTGACTGAGCCTGACCCTGTTTCCTCGTATTGATATGTGCAGGCTGGCTAGGGCTTCTGTTTATCCTTCAATTGGCCTTAAGCAATGTGTATTGGTCTAGCTGAGGTGCTGGTGATAGTCTCTGAAGGTGGCGTGCGTGTTTCCCTGGTAACCTACACCTGCTGCTCTTTAATGTGAGCCGGATTGAGACAGGACAGAAGAGCCAACGCTCCATGGCGCCAGCTGGGATCGAGCCGAGAGAGAGAGAGGCCATGACTTCCCAGGGCTTGAAAGACTACATCAAAGCTGAAGCACCAGACCCCCCAAAACATTAGATATTATCTCAATAGCATAAAGCCGATTACTCTCTCTGCATAGCCTCTGTGCATGTGGCAGAGGTAACTGTAGGCCACCCACCTAGCTCAGCTCACAGTACTCACCTACTTCCCATAATTCTTGGTCATTCCTCCTCAAGCCACTCCTTCACTGAATAAAACCGGGTGCCACCCTGGGTCAGCCTCTTTGTTCAAGAAAGCCATCTTTTTGGCTGTACTTAGAGCCCCTTGGCTCCCCAATAATTAAAAATATGTTTTAATGTCTTTACTTGCACCATGGGGTGCATTGAAAGTGGTAGATTGGAATTAACTTGGTGGGATTCCAATAATGTAACTTTGGGATGACAAATATTGACTTCTTGGACCGAGACGAGGACCTGGAAGAGACTCCTGCATCCTCAGAGCCATCCCAGGAAGGGTGAGAGTGGGAAGGCACGTGTATATTCACTAAGCATCAGAAGCGGAGCCAGTCTTCTAATATTTTTACAGATATTCTTAAGAAGGGCCCAGCAAGCACACAGAATGCACTGGGCTCTCAGGTTCCCCACTGGACAAGGAGAGGCCAGGAGGCTGGCCAGTGTGGGAGACCAGGGCATCTGCAGGGCTTGGCACCCTGAGGTATCCAGGGATGCATTTGGGGCATTACATAACAGCTCATGTCTGGAGCAAGCACACAGGAGCCCCTGGAGAACCCCTTGAACACATCAGCCCACATACAACTGACAAGAAAAGACCCAGCATTAGACCTCTTCAAGATGAGCATTAGAAATAAAAGGAAAAATATTATTCTCCATGTCAAGCTGGGGCAGATCCATCCCTGAAAGAGGGTGTGTAGGGTGTGGTCTGATACCAGAAGAGTTAGTGAAGAGCTTTCTTTAAAAAAAAAAAAAAAGTCCAATCCAGAGAAGGGGGCTGGCGCAGGACGGAGAGCACACCAGAAGCAAGGCAGTGCACATCTGGGGCCAACTGGACAGAACGCGTTACTCATACAATAAATTAGGACGGCTCAGAATACGTAAAGACCTGAAAAGATACCCAGTCGTCTTGCCACTGCGACCAGAAACCCTTTCAATAACAGTCCTGACAGATGACTCTTCAGAGCCTGCTGAAATCTCCCAGGGCTAAGGCCCTTGCTGCCGTCTGAAGGTGTTTCTTGGGTTGTCTGACTTCCAGCCTACAGGTGCTGTGAGGACCCAACCCCTCTGCCATCGCTGCCCTGACACTGCCCTTCTCCCATCTTTCTTTTGCACCAATTCCCTGCCCACCTGGCTGCTCTTCCCTGGGCAAAGGATAGCTGGTGGCTGCCCCCGCTTCACACAGTGGATAGTAAACTGAGGCAGTGCTGAGTGTGGGCTTTTCTGGAGCTCACCACAGGCTTGAATAAAGTGGCCATGAGGGTAAGCCAGGTGCACAGAGATGTTCTAGGCCGGGAGTTGGGAGACTGAACGCAATATTAAGTGTGATGAAATAATAAACAGTCTTGTAATTAGTTGTCACCCTACAACACATGTCATAGACATGTTAGGTTTGGAAAGAGGAGAATAAATAATAAATCCAAGCTTTACAGCGAATCAGGTCTGGCTTGGATCTACCAGAGGGTCTTCACTCATCAAACTGTGGGAGCTGCTGGTGACTTAACTCCCCTCAGCCTCCTTCCTGCTTTAAAATGAGAACGATTCTTCTAGTGGTGACAGAAAATGATGCGTGTGCAGTCCCCAGCACACAGGCAGGCTCAGCAAGCGTCACTACAGAAACCACGGTGTGAAGTCTGAGATCTCAGTGTGTAGGGACAGTGATGGGGAGTGGGAAGCGAAGGACACGGAACAGAACTTGGGCAAGAGGCAGTGCAGGCCTGAGGAGCGGAGGGAGTCGGGAAAGAAGCTCTAAGGACGGGTCAGTAAAGGAAGCCAGAGGGACAGGGGACATACAGCGGGTTCAAGAATCTGCTGGGGGGGGGGGGACTAAGGACAGAACTCATAAGAAAGGATGAGGACAGGTGAGGCGGGGGAGCCGCTGATGCCAGGGATGCAGTAGCTGCGGCAGGACACACAGGAGCAAGAGAGGGCCACCATTTCCAGGTGTGGTTTTGGGCTGATAGGAGAGATGAGAGGAGTGGAGCTCAGTCGCAAGCACAGGGTGTATGATCCGTCCAGAGCCTAGGAGGACGAGGTGTCAGCTCAACAAAGTGGACAAAGGGTAGGCTTTGCAAGAGCGGCAGGGGTGTGGCCTCTAGCAACTGTGCTCCAGTGTGCACAGATGACATGCAAGCATGCGGGGGTGCCACTTTCGGTGGGAGCCCTGCTGTCCACAGCACTTCCGTGGCAGGGTGAGGCCCCCTGCCCTGTGGCTGGGGCTTGTTCTGCACTGCGGTGGCCATGGCCACGCCGTCCAGAAGTGATCTGGGAGGCTGGAGGAGAGGCTGGAGTCAGAGTTCAGCTTAGCGTGGCAGGAGCTCTGGCCTCTTCATCCTCTGGGTGGTACTAGGAAAAGAAGGGGTCATTCCTGGGCTGAATAATGAGATGCCCTCGGGCAGGATCCCAACGGTGACAGCGCATCCCAGGCCTCTGAAGAACTAAAGCCAGTTTCCACACCAACACAGTCTGTAGTGGTCCGTCCCACTGGGGCAGCAGGGTGTGGGACCGAGGTGGAAGCCTCCATTCTTCATGGAGGGAGTGTGGGACCAGACAGCTCGGCCGGTGCTGGAATGCCCCTGCCGTCCTCCCAAAGCAACTGAGTACAAGGTGCCTGCCTGTCGCCCAGCCAATGGCCTGTGGGAGGCGCTGCCATCTGGCACCAGGAGAGGGGTGCTGAGGCCAACTGGCACCCCAGCCTGTGGCATGAGCCAGCTGGGCCCTGGGCAAAGCCTGCTGCCAACTGGCACCAAGGCGAGAGTCTCTTTGGCTCACTCCCACGGTGCTGCAGGCCTAGTGGATGCTTCCGTGGTCTTCCACTGGGGACATCCCGACACAGGAGCCTGAGCACTGGCTTTGTGCACACAGAACTGTTACTGCTGGCCCCGCGGGAACAAGGCTGGGCTAAGGAAGCCAATTATGATTCTTGCTGCTTCTTCCCAGGATGCCTTCAAGTGGAAAAAAATAACAATCCCACCTCTTGTTTGGCACTTGTCAACTTACAAAGTGCCCCTGCAGCTGTCATTTCATTGGGGCTTCACAACAACCAGCAGAGAACAAAGCCAGTGCTCCCTCTTAGGGTCTACAGAGGGGGAAACTAGGGTTTCAATCAGAACACGTGGTTTCCTGCCTGGGCAGCCTGGCCTGAAGTAGGTTCTCCTGACATCTGGCCCCTTCATGCAGGATCTAGCAGAAGGGTCTAAAAAGGAGGCAGAGAGGAAATAGGTAGTGAGCTCAGAGAACAGGATTTCTGCTTTTTTAAAGACAGGATCTCACTACGTAGTTCACACTGTCCTTGAACTCGCCATGTAGCCCAGGTTTGCCTCCAACTTGGGCGATCCTCCTGCCTTAGCATCCCTAGTGCTGGGATTAGAGGTGTCCACCACCATGCCTGGCTCTCGGGAGCATGATTTCTAGGCTGACACTGCCAGTCCTAGAAGAGATGGGAAGGGAATAAAGCAGCCAGCCCGAGTCGGATGTGGGTGGCTGGGAAGCTGGACAAGAGGTGATACGAACTAAGGAGGCTTAGGGGCAGAGCACAGGCCCTGTCCTCCAGGGCCTGCTGCTGAGCCACCGAGCGCTTCATCCCAATTCATGGACGGTATCCTGGCTCCCCTCTCGGGGTGTGATCTGCAGGACTTGCAGGGGCCCAGAGCAGGGAAAAAAGACTGCCATCCAAAGGAGGCTTGGAAGCCCATCCTGGGGTCAGGAGCACTGGGTCTACTTCCATCCGGACCCTGCGGGGCAGCAGGCCCTCCCAGCAAGAAGGAGGGCTGCTCCTGTAGAACGCCCCTCACACTCCTCAGCCCTACTTCCCTGAGGTAGGCACAGAGGCTGGGGGCTGTTGCCTCCCCTGCTCACACCAAGGAATGTAAGAAAATGCTGTGGAGAGCCTGGGTTCCAAGTGAGACTGGGCTCAGATTCTTGTCCTGCTGCTTAGCTGTCTGAGAGATCCCAAGCACCCTATCCCGGTGCTGATCAAACGTGGTCCAAACTGAAGTTGGAGGGCTGCTTGGGGCTTGAGTGGCCAGGAAATCAAGTTCCTCCAGAGGCTCTACACGCAGTAAGTCCTCAGCTAGAGATAGTCTGGATAAGTATGTGTCGCTATGGATGCCGGCCTTTGTGGCACAGGTTGACCCTGTAAAGCTCCTAAATCCAATTTCCAAGTACAGAAAAGCCTCCGGTTGTGCAGAAACCCAAGCTGACACCCCTTGAGAACTCCACGGGGCCCTGCTCACAGCCCTGAAATGAGCCAGCAGCGCCTCCTCCCTGCAGGAGTCCTGTCTAGTGCTAAGGCTCCATATGCGTTTTGTGATTCTTAAGCTGGAGACTAAAAATGGCAACAAACAGCTAATTCAAACCTTTGAAAAAACTGGCCGCAAAGCCTGCTTTGCTGATGGAGCCATCAGACACAAACTTCACCCACAGCATGTTCGAGCTGGACTTCACATCCTCCGGCTTCTCGTAGCCGCAGAAGCGGCCGATCAGAGCATTCTCCTCTGTGGGGCCGTCACGAATCTCCAGGTAGTCATACGAGCAGCTGTCGTGCCTCTCAATCTAAAGGGAGACACGGAGGCCACCTATTACACTGGAGAGCTCATCTTCAAGATTTTTTTATTTAAAGACAGACACTAAATATCACGCTCAAAATTTAGGCAAGCCGAGTGTGTCCGGGGTTTCTTCAAGTTGTGCCCTAGTTGCAGAAGTCAAGGGTGAACCAAATTGAGGCGAGACTAAGAAAAATAGGGGAGAACAATCCTACAAGCCTTCCTTGAATTCCCAAGATAGCTTTTTTTTTTTTTTTAAATGGGGAAGACAGGCTGAAATGGCCTGTGCAGTGTAAGCTGACCTTGAACTCACCGCGCAGCCCAGTCTGGCCCCAAATTCACCATGATCCTCCTACCTCAGCTTCCCAAGTGCAGGGAAGAAGGTGGGCACCACCACACCCAGCTCAGGCTCACTTTTCGCTTTCCCTGCTGCCTCTCCCTTCCCAGCAGCTTTCCAAAGGGAGGTGAACTATTTTTCAAAAGCTGCAAAAAGCTCCCTATGTGACCTCCAGGCACATCCCACCGGGCTTAGCATTTCACGTGGTCTCTTAGGTTCCTGTTTTCAACCCTAAAATTGGAAACCCATCTTTACAGAGTGGAGAATAACAGGCTAGGAAGGTGTCCGAGCTGGGCTCACCTCAAATGCTTGGAAGGCGAGTCCCACATGAAACCCATCCGACACCGTGATCCTCCACACACATTCCTTGGAAGGCCTGTAGTCATCTGGGTAGTTGGGAGATTGGATCTGGCCAGCATCTTTGTTAATGTCTCCTCCACATGTAGCTTTAGAAAGAGCACAGGAAAGGAAGGGGGATTCCTGGTCAGAGGAAGAGGCACGCCACTTGTCACCACTAGGTGGCTCCGCTTGCCAACATTTTCATCTGCAGCGCTACAGACTGCCTCAAAAGCATAAAATGTATCTGCTTTCCACTCTCAATCTTTTCACATAAAGAAAATAACTGCGTGGCACCTTCCCTGTTCATCAGCATCTCCTGGTAAACCGCTGCAGCTGTAAGGGCCTGGGCCACCCGCAGGGCCCCCACCCCCAGCATCCAGGGCAGAGTGCTGCTGCTTAGGACACACGCGTGTGCACACACTGAGACACCATGCACGTGCAAAGAGGCGTGGGTTAAGTGTTTTGCAAAAACAAAACTTGTCTTCTCCAAAATTACAATAATTTGAGGGCCAAGAGGGCTGTAATTGTTTTTCAGAAAGGTCTCAGCTTTGAGGGGGCAGGGTGGAAGGCAGGGCAAGAGGAGCGCACTCAGCAAGGACAACAGAGTGAAGCAGCACTGCCCGGGGCGGCTGCCCAGAGTCCGCTAGGCCCTCAGGGTCGCCTCTCAGCCCTTCTAGGAAATGCAGCTGTATCTTTCCCATGCGGCCCAGTCTTCTTTTCAGGAGCGAGACCGAGGCCAGAGGGCCAGCTCCTTTGCTTAAGCTCGCATGTCTCCAGAGGCTGCTGCCATTCCCACAGGGTTTTGGATCCCCGACACCACCCCCACGTGGGGGAAGCCAACCTTCCAGCTGGACAGGAAGGATTCAGTAGGCTGCTGACAGGTAGGGGACAGTTGCTGAGGTGAGCACAGCTGGCCTCTGAATCCTACATGTGGTGAAAGTGGCTTGCAATGTTCCCTGCCCCTGTAGGCTTAGATTCCAGGACAGAGGCGGAGGGGAAAGGTAGGAGAGGGCACAAGGGAGCTCCTGCAAGGGCCCGTCCCCTGTCCCGCCCTAAGCTGGCCCCTTGCAGCAAAGCTCCTACGCCAGGGGCCCTGGCATACTGCCAAGCACAACTGGAGCGGAAGAGGGCCAGCGAGTGCCTGGAAGGACAGGGGTCAGGCAGCAGCCACCCACGCGGCTTCTTCTGTCCCAAACAAACCTTCATACACGGCGAAGAACCCTTTGCCCAGGATGTTGCTGCTGCTGCGGAACTCCACCCAGAGCCGGCTGTCTGAGGAGACCAGGGGCTCGGGGACTTTATCACCACAAAACCTCCCTGGAAAAGAAAAGACGGTCAGGGTGCTTGGGACAGCACGAAGGTGGGCAGCACGACTGAGACAAAATCAAGGCTCTTCCGAAGTGTGCTGTCGCGCCTGGCAGCCCTCAGTGGTGGCTGTTCCTGTCCCACATGCTAGACAGAAACACAGGCCTGGAGGAGTCGCACAGCCTCTGGACCTCATGCCTGCGAGCTCCAGATCCCGGTCACTCAGTACGCAGAGTGCCGCCGCCGAGGCACCGTCCTGAGGCCCAGGACAGCTCTGAGGTACAGTGGAATCAGGGTTGAGAACAAAAGAAAGGCTCATCCTTCGGGGTGTCCTGTGGCATCCGTGCCCTGCCTTGGGGACGCTGGACATCCTGCTTTCCTTGCCTCAGGATGGGAGAGCACACACATGGGAGAAACCAAGTCACCGTGGCCTTCGAATAGCACAAGGGCAGTCACAGCAGCAAAGACGGCATGACGAATAAGAGAATCATTCCTGTCCTGTAGGCTTCGATTCCAGGACAGAGGAGGAGGGGAGCGGCTGGAGAGCGTACAAGCAAGCTCCTACAAGGACCATCCCATCGCCCTAAGCTGAGGCCCTGGGCAGAAAAGAACATAGCAATCCCAGGTCAGCGTAGGGATCTGGGAGAAGTGGAAATTGTGTCCCAAGTCCCTGGCAGGAACCTAAGGGCCGAAGCAGACTCTGGATTCCCCTGCCCCTCACAGGGTCTGGACAGAAGTACCTGTGTGGTTTGTAAAGAACTCTGGCCCTGAGACAGGCCCGGAGTTCCTTAGGCAAATCACAGGTGACTATGCCAGCCAGCATCAGTGTGATTCTGGGCTCCTGATGGGGCGCCGACACGGCTTCCCACAGCTCAGAGGACTCGGGAGCCAGAAAGCGCTCCCCAGGCTGGGAGGGAGCGTGTTCCCTCAGCCATCCTGAGCTGGCCTGGGCTTGAGGCACAGGAACAAAAGCAGCACCTATGCGGCCAGAGGACTGAGTGGTCGGGAAGGAGGGCTTCCCTGCAGTCCTGGTCAGGGCATCAACGTTGTTACCACCCCTGCCCCACTACCACGGTGTTATGGTTTATATCTAGGTTCATGTATGGGGGGGTGGCTACAGGACATGGCTGGATTATGGGATGTGTCGCTTGGGTGGAACAGGCGCATCATGGGGGAGGCGCAGCCTGGAGTGGTTTAATCTCCTTTCCCAGCTCCGGGCATGGTGGTGCTCTGTTGTAACCCTGAACTTGGGAGGCTGAGGCAGGAGGATCAACCTTCAGTTCAAGGACAGCCTGGGCTCTGGGGGCACCCTGCCTCAAACAAACAAACAAACAAACAACAACAAAACCATGCCAGAAACAGAACACTGAGCCCCAGAGGCTGCTGGGAGCAGAATTCCGTGCCTCTGCCAGGAATCTGTCATATGCGTCACTCAAAAAATTTCATTTGCTTTGTGTAGGAGGGAGATGGGGTGAGAGCACTACTGGCTATTGAGTTTTTCTTGGAGGATGATGAGAATATTCTAAAATTGACTGTACATCCCTATGGACATGCTAAAAACCACTGACTTTACATAGTGACCTGCACGGTACGCAATTGTACATTCTTTTTGTGCGTGCAGGCCGCCTCTTGCACAGCCCTGGCCCTTTTTCCTCTGGGAGACGAGATCTCACTAAGTTGCCCAGACTGGGCTTGAGCTTGCGACCCACCTGTGTCGGGCTCCCAGAGTGCTGGGATTCCAAGTGTAAGCCGCCAGCCTGGGCTCTCAATTTTTTAAGTCTGTTTAATAGATATACTTATGGATGATTTTATTGTCAATACTGTGTTAGGCACAGGACAAGCCGCTTAAAGCTATTTTAATTCTGGCCTCGCTGCTGGGGAGCACTGAGGCCAGAGACGAAAGGCTGGGAGGGGCATTTCCTAAGGCCAGGGAAGGCCTCCGTTCTCAGGGAGAGAGCTGCTAATCTCCTCCGCTTCCTTCTGATTCTGGCTGTTTGGATTCGCTGAGCTTAGTGTTCAGAGAGACGAGAGGAAACTGCTGCTGAGACTCCGGCAAGGAGAAGCCATCAGCGCCTATAAATTTTCAGTAATGGTTCCTCTGGTGTGGCCAATTAGGGTCTGTTAGTTTTTGGAACAGAACATATAAGCACGCGAAGTTTGCTTACTGTCGGGGAGACAGTGCACAGAACGGCACTCAGGCCATGCCAGGGTGCCCGCAGGATTCCGCTCAGCCTCGCCTGAGTTTCAAGACTAAGTTTCTCCTTTTCTTTCTTCTTTCTTTCTTTCTTTCTTTCTTTCTTTCTTTCTTTCTTTCTTTCTTTCTTAATGTATTTAGTACAAGGTCTGCAGGGTCTCGCTGCACAGCTCGGACTCGGAGCGATCCTGCTGTTCTCAGCCTCCCAAGCACACAGGCTTGCGCGTCTCAGTCCCGTCTCAGCGCGCCCCGGGGGCAGGGCTGGCATGGCACGTGGTGCGCTCTGCCTAAGCAGGCGCTTTAGTCCGCTGAGCTATCTGGCCGGCCTTATGTGTCTCCTTTTCAAAGCCCAGCTGTCACAGCCACTGAGGAATGTTTCCAAAGTGGAGGGAACCTTTGCTGTTGCCCTGGGACAGCCCTAACTGGAAGCGAACAGCCACTTCCGCCCTGGACTGCAAGACAATCTGCCTCTTCTCGGTGCACTGGAGGAGCAAGAGATGGCAGCTCAGGCATCCCTGACGGTCCTGCAGAGTTGGATGTGACAGAATAAATTACAGACCTGAGCGCTTCCTGAGACACTTGGCAGTTCCCAGCCAGAGCTCGTTTCTCCTCCTTGACATCTCAGAACTCACCTCCACCATAGCTCCTCCAAGGAAAGCCCTGTAGTCACTGAGCATGTCTATGCCAACCACCGGGCTAGCGCACTACGGAGATTATCTCACCCCCTTACCACCATTACCACCTGAATTAGGTAATACTTATCCCAGTTCACAGATGAGAAAATTGGAGATCAGAGAATTTGACTCAAAGCTGGAAGTAGAAGCAGAATTTGAACCTCAGCAGAGTCTGAGATCTGGACTTTTATCATCAATGTCACTTTCTTCATCATCACCACCATCCAAAGGAATTTGGGTGAAATTCTGATCACTGTACAATTTTGACTAAATAGACACTAATCTCTCTGTCTCTGTCTGTCTCTGACCCCCCAACCCCAAGCATCATGCCTATTTCCCATTTCCAGGTTTTTATACACAGACAGAGAAAGTCTGGAGAGACACCGCATCTGCTGTTGGCCCCGTTTCTGCTCACTGGGGAAGCTGCCTCGGTGCAAGGGCCCCACGACACCGTTTGCTGGGCCGGCCCTTCTGAGCTTCCCTCCTCATTTCAGGGAAAGGGGTAAAAGGACTTTTGTGTACATTGTGGTGGTCCAGAATGCCCAAAGACAGTTCTGCATACAAAACTACATTGTTCAGAGTAATTCCTCTAACAAATAAGGGAAGGGAGTCCAACTTCCAGGGCGTTGCTTCAGGCTACTAGGTGAGTTATCTATGTAGCCCACAGCCCGTTAGGTACCATCTCCTAAGTGGCCCTGGAAATAAAAAAAAAAACCTCGATGAGATCTTTAACCAGCCATGAAATATTCTCAATCTACTTCACTTTCCCTTGACATCCCTATGAAAAACTTGGGTCCCAAACAGCCTCCTTGCAAGGAAGCTAAACAGGCTGGAGAGAAACTGGCCTGGGGAAAAGGTGTCAAATTCCTAAACTGAAATCTGGTTCCTGGATGTAGAGGAGGAGCTTAATAAGGATATCAAGAAGAGGAAACACAGATGAGGACACTATAAGTGGCCTCCGTGGGGAGTCATAAAGGGTTCATTCATAAAAAGTTATGCACGTATTATGCCTGGATTTTCACACACTGCCCTGGGAAAAAAATGTGTTGCATAGTTTTTCAGAGCAAGATGCATACTTTTACAATCCGCCTTAATCCGCTGTCCCTCCTGCCAAAGGGGCATTGACCTGCCTCCTCCCAGCAGATTTTGTGGCACTGACCCCTCCCAGGGACCAGCTCAGCTGACACAATTCACTTGTTCAGAACACAAAAGTTCACTAACAACTGCATTTGGAAACATCAGAGCAGGCCAAATAGTTGGCAAAGGAGAGCGCCTACAGAGGAGGAATGAGGGCCATAGGCACAGAGCCACGCTCTGGCTGCCACACACACACACACACACACACACACCCCAAACCACAGAGGCATGCACGCTGTAAAGTGGAAAAATACGAACCCTAACCTCCTCCGAAACAAACCAACAAAATACACGCCAATCATCACCTACAACAGTAAGCAGTCAAAATCCTATCCCACTAATTAAAGTATAGCCAGAAATGTCAGGATCTTCCATAGGGAAATGCCCACTGCGAGTCCAAGCAAAGAGTGCCTAGAAATCGGCACATGCTCACTCTTGGACTGTACCTTGGCCCTCTCTGGGGAACTTCAGTAACAGAGAGCTCCCTCTACTCCACGGGGGTGAGGGTGGGGGAGGTCGTATAGGGCTGCCAGGCTGCCCAGGAAATCCAATTAAATTTGAATTTCAGATAAACAACACATGATGTATCTTATCTGACACACCTCAGGGACACCCTGCTCAATCCAGCAGTCCCTGTGCTGCAGCCAGGACATACATCTGAATTCTAATCTGGTCTCATCCAGTTAGAAAGTTAGTCTAACGGGGGAACCGGGCTTTCTCCTTTGTAAGCATCATCCAGGGAGTCGCAGGGTGAGGGCTTCCTGTTCTCCTGAAGTTCTTTTGCACCGCTCTTGTGACATGCATTCTTGTAAAAGATCCAAACAGTTGAGTCTTATGCTGAACAAAACAGGAAGCTGCCCCCAGCTCCATGCTTCCTTTCTCAGAGGCAACCGCTTCAACAATTTGATGAGCGCGCTTGCAGCCCCCTTTCCGTCTGTCTGGTGTGGACATCGGCACACGCAACCATGCATTTATAGGTCAACACGACCATGCTCTGACCCAGCCTGTGGGGATTCTGGTCAGGTGCTTTCCAAGACGTTGGTGCCCAGCCAGGGTTGGGAAACTCTCCCCCGCATCCGTCCGTCATGTTGGACATCGAGTCAGCGCTACCTAGAAGGCCTTGCCCTCTGCTGGCTCCTAACACCTCATCCACTTAAATCAGGAAGAACCGGAAACCGGGGACAAGACAGCACTTCCCCTTCCCGTGGGTGGCATAATCCTCTGGTCCTGCAGGGTTCACACTCCTGGGCACGCTTGGCCTGAAGGTCACTGCCTTGGTGGCCTGTCTGGACTGCTAATTGCCAAAGTCCTCCTAACCGGGGCAAGCGGGTACCCAACTCCCTGAAGCTCCGAGGGATAGGAACCCCTATCTGCTTCACTGTGAGAAATTCAAGCTCACGGCCCTCTGCACGCAGCTGCCTGTGCACTCTTCCTGCCCATTGCTTGCCTTAGCCATGCAATAGGAAGCACAATCAAAACATACGGTGGACACTTAGCTTTTTAAGTTTTTCAATAAAAGACACCTTCCCGTTAATCCCCCTCGAAACATTCTCCTTTTCTTCCGACACAGTTCTCCCATCTTTCTTGGCACGTCTGGAAGCAGTTCTGGAAGTCCTCTCTGTATCTTTTGAGGTGTGATCAAAACTCTGAGAACTGCTGCTGAGTGCCACCCAGTGGGGGGCAGCCCCTAACACTCCTGCGAGAGCCCCTGGCCACCCTATCCACTGCTGCTGGGGCCGGGGGACTTCTGGCTCTTCCTCCAAGTCAAATGCCCATGAAAGGTAAATGCCAGGGCATCTCAGCAGCCACGAGTAAAGACAGAAAAGAGGACTGCGAGAACAGATGCAGGCAGGGCTAACAACAGTGGGATAAATGTGCTCAGAGCAAGGAGGAGTACCTTGAGGATTAATGGCAATGTGGCTTTTACTTAAATACATTTTTCAGCATTCACTGTATTTTTTATTGCATCTGATAGCTTCGCATCTGCCAGGGGTCCTAACGGGCAGCCAGGCCCTCTGTCTCAGTCTCTTCTGACCTGTCTCCCCCGTGGCACCCCAGGACCAACATGACATCAGACTTGGTATGGCAGTGAAATTTCCCAGCCAAGTCCTCTCCTTGCTTTCCCAAGCAGCGTCTTCAGCCAACTGTCCCAACAGCCTCATTCTCAGGCCTGTCGACCTCAGTATAACAAGGGTGGCTTTTCTGCTCGGGTGATATGCCGGGGACCGTGTGCTCCCCAAGCTCTTAGACTTGTCTGGCCCAGAGGCACCTGCAGACTGCTCGGACAATGAGGACAACCGCTTCTCAGCTGAGACCTCTATCTGGCCCCTTATCTATGTGTGTAGCCTATGGTGGCTGCCTTCTCCAGCCTGCGTAAGTCACAGTTTTAACCCCCCCAGCCACTGGTCCTGTTTAGGGTTGATCTTCCCTAGCCACTCTTGAGAGAGCTCTCTTTGCAGTCAGCCATGAGGGGGCTAGCTTTTCTCCTCGCATGACCTGCCTGCTGCTCCCCCTCAAGGGCCCCAGGTGCTTCATCACGTTCGAGCTCATGCCCTGTCCACTTCCCAAAAATAATACATGCAATCATAAAATTTTGGAAAATACAGCTAAACCAAGAACAGAACGAGATTTTTTAAAAAATATCCTGAAATCATTACTATGTGTGATTTATTTATATGTATAATTTTATAATTTGATACTTATGTGATAGAATATGCTGTGATTTCTTCCAGGTGAATTCAACCTGCCCAATGTGTTAAGTACTTTTGTGTTGAACGGTCTTGGAGGGGATATTACTGGATATCCACCACACTCATTCATTCCACCACACTCCCACTACTCATTGTTTTATTAAACCAACCCCATCCAGTTCACTTAGACCTTCTATAGCATCTAATTTTGCACTGTTGGTACATATGTGCATATCTACTTATACACAAACATCCACACATACACATATACCTTGTTTCACAAATGTTTGCTTGTGAATAACTGGGTTCGCATGGAGAAGCATTTGGCAAAATTTTGTTTGCAAACTCTACACTGGATATTGAACATGACCGTGGTCATCTTTCCCGCATGGAACACAAATGTAGCCACCTTTTCCAGAGCCGTGGAACAAATTAAATTCATAAAAGGAGATGCCATTGTGCATATATGTAGTCATATATTTTTAAATTAATGCTACTCCACATTCTATTCTGTAATGTGCTTTTTTGCACGTAACAGCATTCTATCAACAACCTTCCCTACCCTATATAGAGTCATCTCCAACTTTATTTTTAAAGTCTAGAAAGTTTTGCACTGAAAACAAAGTATCATAATTTATTCACCTAGCCCCTACTGTCCAACGAACGTTTGAATTGCTCTCAATCTTCCATGCTTCAGTGCTTGCCCCTGTGGCGAGGGCTCTGCACACTTCCTCGATTAGTTCCTAGGATAACTTCCAAGGAATGGAACTGCTGGGTCAAAGGGTAGTCACAGTTTTAAAAGCTTTTAACATGTGTGGCCAAATGGAGTGTTTGGAGTTTTACAGTGACACAGGCCGTTGAGGGCTTCCTGTGACTGCTGCCACGACAGACCCTTCCAGACAGTAACCGCATCCCAGAGAGCACCCCACTACTCCTCTGTTAAAGCTGTCCCAAGTCTACTCACCCAGCAGGGGGGCTTTCCGCCAGTATCCATCCCGGACCTCCACATAATCGTACCAGCACAGACGGCTCTTAAACAAGTCCATGGATGTGAAGTTTAGGACGATCTGTAAAGAATTGCCATAAAGTGGGTCTGGGCAACAAAGCCTGAGGAGTTCTGAAAGACGCACCTACATACCAGTATTCTCACATCACGCTTTAGTATACACAGCTCTCAGACCGCAGTAGGAGTGTCTTCTCAAAACTACAGGCGCAGGAAGCCTCGTGACATTCAATAACAAACCTTAGGCAGGATGGGGAGCAAAGAGAATCAGAGGGGTCCTTTGGCTCTGTCTGGGGAGTCATTTGAGCTTTTGAAGTCACTAGGTGGTTTACAGAGAATAAGACGCATTAAAGGCCAGGCCAGGATGCGTCAAGACTGGGGCTGAGGAGGTACAGAATGCTCTTACAACTTCATCCCTCATCCCAAAGGATCCAGGGTTATCCCAAGTGCATCCAGCACCCTCCGTGATCAGTGTCCCCTTGGCCGTGACCTAACTTCTGAAGTATGCTGCGTCTAAAAGTCTTCCTACAGTCCATCCATTCATTCATTCATTTGACCACTGCTTGCTGGCCACCTCCTGTGTGTGAGTCTATGCTGAGACATGGAGGAAGACCAATAAGACAATGTCCTTTCCTTGAGAGAGCTCAGAGCAAGAAAAGGGAGACACGCCACATTAGTGACAGCACCATGGCACACATGCTGAAAGGAGAGGGCCAGACAGTCCTGAGACGGGAGAACTAAATTCTGTCTGGAAAATTCCTGAAGGCTTCTTGGAGGAGGTGTGATTCAATCTACAGGACCAGGAGCTCCATGGCAGAGAAGCCAAGACAAGCTGCTAGGAGCTGAGGCCAGGCGCTGTCTGAGGACCTGGAGCATAAGCCCGGCGTAGCGCGTGCGCCCAGCATGGGCAGCTGAAAGGGCAGAGAGGTAACGGTACAGGCAAGGGCGGCAAGGGTTCAGCTGAGGCTGGGCATGAACGTTCCAGCTCTCTGGGACACCCCTGAGGGCCCTCGCTGCACGTCCCAATGGCCAAATACGTGATTATTTAGTTGAGGGGACAATGCGGTCCTGCAGCCTGACCCTCGACACATAGGCACTGTCCCATGAGTGGGCCCTTGGCCTCCAACTCCCTCCAGCCTGGCCTTCTCTCAGCAGACAGACTGCAGCACAGCCCAGGTTTTCCCTCGCCCTTTGCCCATACCCTCACCCCGCCGTCCTCCCACCCCCACCACAACCATCCTCCCACCCCCGTGGAGCGCCACCCAAGAGGTGCCGAGCAGCCTGCTGCGCTGAGAAGCAGCCACATGTCTGGTCACAGTGCTAGACTGTCTCTCGGCAGCATCTTTGGCTCCACCACTGCTCAGCTCTTCCTGCTCCGCAGCTCCACCCCAGCCTCTGCACCCCTGACCCTGTCCCCCTGCTCTCAGCAGCTCACCAGTCCACAACATCTTCACTCTATCCCTTTCCTGCCCACTTTAATATTCAACCAGCCCAGGGCCACTACCTTTAAGTAAACCTTGAAGCGGGAGCAGCTACAGTCCTACTGCCCAGACCTAAAGACGGTTATTTGTCCCCAAGTTTCTGGGGTCCCCTTGGACTCAGCCTACGCTTTCTGGTTGTCAGCATACTGGCCTATCCTCTCACCCATGTCCTCTCTCACTGGCTGGCCCCTGTCCTCCCTATTCCCCACTAGCCATGAGCACACCTCCAACCCTAGCACGTCCTGCCCCACCTCCCTCACACCTCTTTTCCTCTGTTGTTGGCCCTCCCATACCTGCATAGGATCTGTGTTGACTTCTTTTTCCCCTTGAGATGTCTCTGTCCTTTTCCTCCAACCCAGTCTTCCTCTCCTCAGTGTCTCTTCCTGATTGCTGCTGAGACAATCCCCAACTCCTCCCTGCTGTACCCCTAAAATCCTGTATACTAGGGCTTCAGGATGAGTCTTCTTCATCTTCTCTCTCGTGTTTACCAGGTCTTTCCCACACTTGGGAAGCCTCTGCGGGTCCCCATGACCCCGTCTCATAAATTAATCTCTCTGCTGATTTTCCACAACCTTCAGGGCCCGACTGTCCCTTGCTCCAAGAGCTTCCCAATACACCTACCTCCCCAGGCCCAGCAAAGCAGTGCCCCCTTTCCGAGCCCACCCTTTACTGCCCAGTGAGCAGAGTCTGGTCTCAGTATCTCTGGAACTCCTCACTTTCTTGTGTAGTGATTCTGAACAGGTGTCTGTACGGTCAGGCAGATCACACTTCTCACCTCCACCAACTACCAGTCTTGAAATCTTGGAGAAGCGCTAAACTTCTTGGACCTCTAATTCCCACTTTAAAATAACACATCCACTATTGAGGAGATTGCACAAGAAACTATATAGAGTTTATAAGAGTGCCAAACCCAGTTTATACTGGGTATTCTATAAATGGCAATTAAAGTCTTAACCATCCAGTAGAAAAGTATGAAGACGAAATATAGGAAGTAAAGCCATGCTGTTATGTTGAGCTGTGGGGGACTCAGGTCAATAATTTCTGACAGTGCCAGTTAAACAGAAGACCCAATGCTATTATGGGCTACTGGACTCTTTTAGAATATTTTGCTGAGTTTACACACCTATAATATTCAATAACGGAACTTAAAAAAATGGGGTATAACTATGAATGTCCATTTTGTATCTGTGTATTCAAAGTGGTAGGGATAGACATACAGTTGCATTCTCTTAATGAATAGAATGATTTGTTCTAATGGTGTTTGTAAATAGGATCACAAGTCTGCATCTTGTACAGCAATTAACCACTAAGAAGAATATATGCAGTGTATTATTTGTTGAAACTGTACTTTCGATTTGATTTGAAACTGTCTCATTGCTATATGTTTATCAATAAAACTTTGAGAAGAAATAAATACATAAATACATAAATGGCAATTAAAAATCAGTACACTCAGTTAGTGTGCTAAACTTAGGGTACCACAACTGACCCCAGCTGCTCCTCACAGACTGCCCATCTCGTCTCCCATTAGAAGTGCCCACCTCTTCCTTCAGTGCAATCCTGTGCAGCAGTCGGGTCCCAGGACAAGTAGCATCTCCCACAAAGCCCTGTCATCTCCTAGGCAGTGAAGAGTGGGCACCATCAGATGCCAGGCCAGCTCACTCTATGACTGTGTACACACCTTTGTGCATGCGTGTGTACAATGTCACTCTCAAACTGCATGGGGTGTTTAAAACCCTACTTGCACATTAGAATCACCTTGGAAGCTGTAGGGGAAATGCCGGTCCCACGAAAATGTCCCTCCTTTCATTAAATCAGCCTGCCAGGGGAACCCAAACCAGACATGAAGTCTCTTAAAGACAGGGATGTAACTTAGATTTCGCTCGAATCCCCGCAGTGCTTCCCTTCGGGTGATCAAGCTCAGGAGCACGTGTAAGCTGCTCGCCCAATAACGCTTCAGTTTGCTTTTCAAAATTACAGAAAGCAAATGTTAGTACAGCTTCCTTGGTAACACATTCATGATCTAAATGAATGGGATAATTACTCGGGCTAATTATTTTAAGTGTGCTAATGAACCCTAAAAACCATAGAGGAAGAGGTGATGAGCGAGAGGTGACATTCGAATCAATCAAGTCTGTTAATTACTAGGAGCTCTTTGGAAGGCCGGACGAAGCAGAAACAGGACGGCCTGGAGCAGGAGAGCCAATGACGCCCGCACTGAGCACTGACAACTGAGGCCTGCTGGAGCCTACTCATTCAGGCGTACCACACAGCCTCTGCTGCGCAGGGCAACTGAGCAATGTGGGGATTATCAGGCCCCTTCCTCTTCCTCCCTCTCCTCGCTGCCTCTCTCCTGTTAGTGTCTCCAGCAGAAATACAGATGTCACCTTGACCCAGCAGCAGGTCTGCAGTCTCAAACCCAAGACGACCTCCACACAGCACCAAGTGCATACAGCTCAAGACCTGGCGCGTGTGCGTTTCTGCGTGCACTGTCCTGCAAGTGCATGTTCAAGCGTCACCTGATCGTGTGTTCCACCTCGTAAAAACAGAAGATGATGCTCAACTCTCAGAGGCCAGTTGCCTATGCTCAAATCCCAGCTCTGCCGTACACTCAGTAGCCTTACGCAGCTCATTTTCTTCTGTATAAAATAAGCAAGGGAAGAGCACCTAGCCTGTGACGTTGCTATGAGGATTGCACTGAGCGATCCCTGTGACGCTGGCTAGAACCCCGTCCACACAGAACGTTCATAATGGTTCCAAGGCACAGCTCTCTACTATCACTATTTTTCACACTTCCTTTTCTGGAGCGAGGATGTAACAATGCTTGTGGTTCTTCACAGGCACATGAGAAATTCCAACACACCCACTGCCACCATGGCTACTGGCTTGTCACTCAGCCCCACGTGCATCTACATATCCCTTCAACATATACCCACTCTGCGCCATACATTGTGTGGAGTTCTGGGACTGAGGTGTACAGCCTGCCGCTGGTGAGTTTAGGGTTAGAAGTGGGACAAATACACCAGCAGGCATGACTATGAGACATCCTGTGACACTGTGACACTGTAGATAACTGGGAACACAGGAGTGTCCCCTTACCTCAACACAAAAGACAATTGCAGCTAATCTTAGACAACATGAAGAGCACTTCGATTTGCAGTGATAGAGTGAAAAGATAAACTTGGGAGTACAGAGCCGGGTTCTCCGCTGCCAGCTCTATACCTTGTAGTCAGCTTGGGCAATGCCCTAATGTCCAGGACAGGAGAATAAGGACATGCATCCTGTCATAGGGTTGAGAACACACCACCCATGGGCTCAGCTCGAGAGGGTCAGGGGCTCTCCAGAGCCACAGGAGCACACCCATGCAGAGCTCGTCTGGCCTGGAGGCCAGGGACCTGGGACCTGGGATTAGGCTCCCTATGCAAACAGTGCTAAGCCTACCTGGAGGGCATGGAAGGGCCTCGTCCCTGGATCTTCTTCCCAAGGAAGATGCACACCTGCCTGTGCACTCACTGCAGGGTTAGCTACGACACAGCTGTTTGCTGAGCAGTGTGGGCTGGGGGCCAACAGGAACTCTCCAGAAGCCCCAAATGGTGAGACAGAGGGGAGAAGGGAGGCCAGCTAACTCTGGGGTGAGCTCTCTGCACAGTGCCACCTTCCAGGCCAGCACATGAGGGGCCAATAACTTCCAAACCGGACCTTGCCCTCCAAGGCCTTATAACACTTATCAAGGAAGAAGGAGCGCGCCTCCTTTACCTTAGTCTATAACTTACAAGGACAGTGTGCAAGTGCCAGCGCTCTCTTTGCACCAGGGAAGCTGGCTGAAGAGTCCAGAAATAAGGAAGGTAAAGCAAGCAGCCTGTGCCTGGAATGTGCAGTGTGTGCATAACAAAAGAGCTGCTGTTACCTGTGGTGGCAGTGAGACTCGGTCCTCTTGCCTCACCCGGAGGGCCGTCATTTCCAGGAGGCTTCTTGCCTGTCTTTGAAGCTGTACTAATTACTGTTCTAATTGCACACATTTTCGGGGCACAGCATGGCGATGCGGTCTGTGTGCACGGCACGCAGTCGTCCATCACGTAGTCACCGCCTCCACCTACCTTCTCCCCTGGAGTGACGGAGATCCTCCAGACGCAGTGGGAGTACGAGGGGTAGCCGCCGGGGAAGCCAGGTGCAGAAAAGTTGCCTGTTGTGTCCTGCAGGGTCTCCCCACACACTGCACAAGAAAACAATGACTGTGACTCTGGCCTGCATGCCATTCCGCGCCTGGGCAGCTTCCGCCTGGGGCTGCCAAGCAAACACACCCCTTCACCAGCCAAGGACCTCAGTGGGGCTGGCATGAGGCAGCAACACAGAAAAAGTGGCATGCAGTGCCACAGAGCAACACACCCGGGGCCCTTCGGAGCCTCTCAAGACTTCAAGGCCCAGCACTGGGCTCAAAGCTCAGCTCTTCAGCAGGCTGTGCAGCCGTGGGCTGGGTACTGATTTTCTTTTCTATAAAATAAGCCAGGCAGACCTCAGAGGCTGAGCAGAGCCAGCAGTAGCTCACAGCACGGGTCCACTCAGTGCTGAGCACCTAGTGTGTGCGCCAGACACTGTGGCCCTTGTGACTTCTACCAATAGCATCTAGGGGCCGGAAGACTGTGGAAGCATAAATTGGTGAAGCAAAATCAAAAAACATGCTTTGCAACTCATTTCAGTCCATTTTGAATCCCATTTCAGTTGTGGGCTTAAATCTTGCCTCCCTTTCCTGCTATGCACCTTTGAGAGAGCTACCAAATAGTTAGGAAAGCAGAGGAACGTGCAGCGGCCCAGGAAGCTAGAATATTCTGCAGCCTGTGATTCTGCCTGCGCATGTTTGGCAGTTGCCTGACAAGTCTAAAACATAGACATATATGTGCAAATACTTCTCCTAATTTGTCCTAGAAATGAAATGCCTTGGGAGTTACAGGCTTTGTACTTCCCTGGGCCTTGGCACTACCCACATGCCCCAAAGCCAGCCACAGGCTTGTCAAGCGTCCTGCTCAACGCGCCACCTCCAGGGAGTGGGCAGCAAAGCCCTCGTGAGCACCGTCTCTGACATGTGACTCAGCCTGCGTGGGCCAAAAGCCTCAGCTTTCAGTTATGACTTGAGCCTCCTGGAGGCTCCCTACTTTCTGGAGCTGCAGGAAGGGAGAGGTGGAGAACGACCCATCACTGGCCTCAGGAAATCCTGGATAGCAGGGCTTCCATATCACATTACCGAACAACTGCCAGGCATCTTGAGGATTATGCCCAGCAGTCAACAACCCCCGAGGGCTCCATGGCGATTATTTTAGAATAATCATCAACATTCTGCATGGACAGATACATTACTGTGCGGCTCTGTGGCATTTCCCAGCTGCCTCCAATCCCTCTGGGACATAAGCAGCATATACATTATAACTAAATAAGTACGATGGCATTTCGCAGAGAATGCTCTCAGGTTTCCCTTTAAATTCAGCGAGGTTATATGATACGTGTGTCCCGCGTTTCAGCCCTAACATGCCCCAAGAGGCCTAGTGGCTATGTGGACGTATTTCCAAGTCTCACGCACACACAAGCACACGCAGCACTTTGCAAGGCCCACAGTCCTGCTCCGCGGGGCAGTGTGGCAGCCTAAATTTTCTCTAGTGGCTCCCATTTCAAGCATTCCACTCTGTTATCAAACGCTGCATCCACACTGGAAGCAAGAGGAAAAGAGGGAATGAGGAGGGATGGAGCGGAGTGCAGAGGAGAGAAGGGGAGGAGAGGAAAGGGAAAGAGGGGAGTAAAAACTGTGCGTGCAGCGCCCATCAGCCACTTCAGGCAGAGTCAGTTGCTCAAGGAAAACACTGACTGGTTAGAATGGCAAAGGCGCTCCTTCACTGTAAAGTGGACTTCTAGCACGAAAAATCCTAGCTCCTACTGGGTGGAATTTATTCTCCAGACTTCCTCTTTAAGACCCCAGAACCTTCCTCGGCTCATTCTTGTCTAACAGAGTCTGAACGTTGCCAGTGTGTATCATATGTCTGTCCAGCCCCTCCCTCCCAGGTTTGCCCACCACAGAGCTTCCTTCTGCCCTCCTCAACCCTCTCTGGTGAAATCTATACCACTCCCCCCATGATGGTAAAACTTGGCTGCTTAGACAAACACCTTGCTCGGACCCAAGGCATTCTTACCATGACCACCCCAGCACCCCCAGAAAGCAGAGTGTGGGAACAGAAGGGGAAAGTGCCAACTCAAAGGAAAGGCAGTGCTGAAGTGGCCGCAGAAGAGGCACTATCTCTAGTCCCAACCCACCAAGGGTCAAGACTGAGACCACAGAAACAACCTCATGTAGAGCCCCAAGAGGACGTATAAGGAAATGGGGCCCCATCATCCCAAAAGTATTTGTCCTCACTCTGTTTTCTTGCCTTCCTTGTTTCTGTGTTGTCAACCTCGCATCCCCAGTCCTACAGCAAGAGAAGGCACTCTCATTGTTAGGGGTCACTCTGCTTGGGTGCCTAGGTACCACTGTCCTCTGCCTTTAGCTTGGCTGAAGAAGTCCAAAGCCGGCCACAAGTCCAGCTGTAGGCTCTGGGACCTACAGTTCCCATCATTGTTCTGGCTTTCCACACTGTCTAGCACATCTTAACAGAAGGACACCAGAAATCACAGCTGCCAGGAAAGGGTCCTTTCGGGTCCCCAAGTTATTATCCCAGCAAGGGGCACTGAGTTGTACTCCACAGGCTGCTGGGAGGTGCTGGGAATCCCCGGGGCTCAGGATTACCTGGGCATTTGTACAGCTTCCTAGCTTGGGCTATGTCTCCCTGGCTGAGCCGCACACGCTGGCCAATGGTTGGCCGGATGCCATTGTCGTCTCGACGGGGAAGGATGGTGTCTAAGAAAACTCCTCTACAGAAAGAAAAAAAGAGAGAGGAAGAAAAGTCAGGACTGTCTGGCTCTACAGCTGGGGTTTACAGTCTTCATTGCCTTGCCATCAACTGCTGGCCTGCATCTCCCTGACTGGCACGACTAGGGCTCTGTCCTTCACGCATGCTCGCATTTCACCAAGGGCCTGCTCACTTTCCATTAGGAAGATCGCTGCCAACCTGGAAAACATGCCTCTTTCCATAGCCTGGAGCCTTCTGTACCAATGTGTCCTTTGCATTTCCACAAAGCCTGTGACAGCCCCAGGCCATAGAGTCACCATGCTGCACAGCACTGGGAGCACCACTGAGAGAGTGGCATGAGTGGCGCCCCCTGGGGTTGTGCACTTGGCAGTGCTGTGTGTGGATGAGTCTTGGAGCCGCCCCAGGGGAGATTGGGAACTGGTCCAGTGTGAGGCTCTGCAAGGGGAGAGTTGGCAAGTGCAGGTGGACGAGGTGGTGAATGAGAGTTGGAAAGGGATTGCTGGCCAGCAGAGCAGTGGGAGGGCCAAGGAGATACATGCAGAGACTAAGAGGGAGTCCAAAGAGCCCTGCGCTCGGGATTGCCATGCCAGGCCTGGCTCTGCCAGCCCAGTGAGCCTGGCAAGGCCCTTGCTCTTTCTGAACCTTTCTGAGCATCAGTTTATTCCTGTGTGCTACACAGTAGCCTAGATGGTCACCGCAGTCCCTCCCAGGGCTGACATCTTATTTGACTGCCACCTGAATGACATCTAGAGTATCTAAGACACATGCAGACTGCAAGATGCCTGGCTAAGCATTAGCCTATTTGCACCTCTGTGTAGGTCTGGTTCCTCTTTGCCTGTCTGTCTGTCACCATTTCTGAGCCTCTGTCCCTGCCCCTGCCCCTGCCCCTGCCCCTGCCCCTGCCTCAAGATCTTCTAACTGGGCCCTCTCTGGGAGGTCAGGCCTTCCCTTGGCCCGGCTCCTTCTCCAGGTACCAACCCATTTCTTTCTTTACCAAGTTTCTCGAAATAAAGGTCTCCATTCCCCAGCCGATAGTCATCACCCCCTCACTCCTCACCCCAAATGTGACCTGGCCACACCAGCGATGACCACTACACACTCGCTGAAGGGTGCTCCTTGGTCTCTATGGTCCCCTCTTCGGCCCTGGAACCTCTTGTCCCTCCCTCCTCACTCTTCTCCCACTTCCCAAGGGGCTGCTCTCTGAGCTGAAGAGAGCCGTGGCTGCTGCCTCCTCCTGCTTCCGTGACGCCCCTCAGGACTCTGCTCCCACTGCCCGCCCTCCACGCTCTGCCTGCTCATATGGGCTCCAGCCACTACCTGCAAGCCCACAGCGAATTCCTTGTTTCCAGGCCAGAACCATCTGCACTCGGGACCAGCTCCCCTAAGGCGCCCTAGCGGCCCCTGATGCCCAACACCAAACTGGGCTCACAACCCAATGTATTCCACTCCTTTGCTCATTCCCTGACCCCATGTCCTGAGACAGGCTCTGGACGCCCCCCCGGGCCCTGCCTATCCCTCAGGAAGGAGGTCCTGCCCACTGTGCCTTTGATGCACCCTGCTTATTCCCTTGGCTCAGGCAATCCATATTCCGGCCTGGATTCTTCCCAGCAGCCTCTTAACTGCCCTCTCCTTGAAGATTTAGCTGCTTCTCCCTCCACCACCACCACCGGCTCCCCCAATGCCGCGATGAGATCTCCCACAATGCGGGAGTGCGCCTGCGCCTCCACCAACCTGCACCCGCAAGCTCTTTGCTCACTGCTTTGTGCCTTCCTGCTCAGTCCCGTCTCCCCATGCCTCCATCTAGCCCCAAACAAGCCCTCATACACGCTGTCCTCTCCCTAGGCTGCCCTTGTCCCAGTGTCTTTGCCAGAGGACTACTCAGTCTCCAAAACCCAATCAGGTGTCCCCAGGTGCTCCGTAACGCTCCCAACAAGTCACACCCTCCTCTGGCCCTCTTCTGTCCACTCCCTTCTTAGCATACTGCATGTCACTTTTTGGTTTTGTTTTTAGGAATGTTGGCACTGTCTTCTCTGCTGACATGAGTTTCTGAAGCACTGAGATGGACCTCAGGGGCCGAGCACGGTGGGGTCAAGAGAACTGCCTGAATTCAATTACGCTGCCAAGACAGGGCACAGTGTTAAAAAAAAATTCGCAATTTAGCTATTTACATCTAAAAAGAAATGCTGAAACATAAACATATTGCCTATTAGCTGCATTCTCTCTTCTCTCTTTCGAACACTGTTTCCCTAAACTGTACCCCACCTTAGAACAAAGTGCATTGCCCTTCTTCTTCCTTGGTTGCGTGGCCTTCTTCCCTTTTGCTTTGCACCTGCTTGCTCCTCCAAGCAAGGCTTTAAGCTCCCTTTCTCCCCAGGGTCAGCGCATGAGAGTCGAGATCACCTGCTCTTCCCTTTTCACACCCCCATGCCTACAGATCACCCTGTGCTCTGGCTTACTGTAATTCCCACTGCCTCACCTTCCAGGGCATCATCTTCTAGAGAAATGTCAGGAGAATCCATGATCCCCCTCACTGACTTCACGAGGTTTTAAACCTCGTGAGTCATCATAGGTGATAACTCTGTAAAATGCTAAATTCAATGACCTAGTAAAGATGGGCACTTCCGCCCTAACTAAAGATGGGGCCCTTGTCATTATTTCCCTGAAGACAGAAATTCCACGGCACAACGTAAGGTTCACCACATTTTCTGGACGGTGCAGGCTAACCAACGCTGTGGTAAATGGCACAGTCCCCAACCTGCCCCTCCGACACTGCCCATGGGACCTCCCTCGGTGCAGGTCTGGATTGGCACTTAATGCACGTTACCTCATTGAATCTTCGTAACAGCCTGAGAGACAGGCCAGCTTTCACCAGGCTCCCCCTTCTCCAGGTGAGCCTGTGGGGCTCACAGGGCTTGCCCAGGGGATACCAGCCAGGGGATGCCTGAAGCCCACCCCCACATCTGCGTCCTTCTGGCCAGTGTCTCCTACTCTCCAGGAAGGGTAAGACTCGATATGCATTAAAGGAGCGCACTAAGAACGCGGGGGGCCTTCTAGCCCAGAGTGGCAGCGCAGCAGGACTCACGCTCAGCAGGCTCAGAGCTGGGCCAGCCCTGCCCCCGTGCAAAGCACTCCAGCGAGGCTCCTGCCCCCTCTCCCAGAGAAGACTCCTGGCATTGACATTCTGTGAACTAAGAAACAGTTTGGCAGATGCCTCAGGGAATAAAACCGTCAGCTCTGAGATCTCCAAACAAAGACATCCCTGTACTAGGGAACTATCTCCTCGACTCCTGGACCCATGCCCGACAAAGCCTCCAAAGAACCACTCCCCACAGCCTGGCCCAACTCAGGGGGCAGGGGGAAGAGATGCAATAAACCAGAGGGGATGAAGTGGGAAGGAGAGGACTCCGTTGTAAGGAGCCACGAAGACTGAGTTTCCCATCAGCAGGAAAGCCTGTGCCCCAGATGAGAGGGGTCCTGCAGGCTATTTTCTGTTCTTTTACAGACCAAGACAAAACACACACAGTGCAGCTCCAGGGAATATGCAACCAGGAGCAGTAACCTGGAGTTAGGGGACAAAGAAGCTTTGACAAAAAATCCCAGAAAAGCCCATCAGTAAGAGCCCATGGAACAAAGCAGTTTCTGGAAAGCCACACTGAAAACTGGCAGGAAAAATGAAGCAGCTCTCTACCTGCAGCAAAAGAGATCGGCAAACGTGCCTCTGCGCTTAGGAGCAGAGGGAGAGGGGAGCAGGGCTAGACTGTTGAAACAACGAACCACACTCTACGTACCTACATCCTTTTGCAGCATGAACTTGCTGCTCCCTGAAGGGGGCGCGCACTCACTGGTGTCGGGGCTGACCATATGGGTTGGCTGGACCAACAGGATACAGCAGCAATGATTTCATGTAGGCACTAGAGCCTGGGTCTTCTCAGCCTGCCCTCTAGGAGCTCTGAGTCCTCATATAGTGAAAAGTCTGGCTGGTCTACTGGGTTAGGGAAAGCCCAAGGGAAAAAGGACCAGAGGGCGTGACCAGGCAGCACCAATTGGTCAGCCACGTGACTGGGCATCTTCGATTCCCTCAGCCAATCAAGCCGTCTGCGACGCTTGCTGTTTGACGCTAGGCAAGATGGAGAAGAGTAAGCCAGACTAACTCAAATATCAGAAAAATAATAAGCTGCTCTTCCAGAGCACTATGTTTGGCATCAAATAATTTTATAGGAATAAGTAATTGAATGGAACCGGGAAGAGAAGTTTGCCTCCAGGGAAGCTGCCGTGCTGCTAGGTGCCCTTGTACACACACTGGTGCTGCCCCATGTCAGCCTCCCTTCCAGGGAGTTGTAGGGGCTTTGGAAGAGGAGCGATTATTTCACGGGTTTGGCCCATGGGTTTCCACTGGTTTGGCCCATGCATTTCCATGGATTTTCTGTTGACACAATAGCGTTAAGTAAGGAGGAAAAGGACAGCGTCTCAAGCTAGAGAGTACAGGGAAGGGACTTAATTAAAAAGAAAAAGGACAAGGAAAGAAACGCTGAGGGCAGAAAAGCCTCTGGGATCTTGCTTTGTGTGGTACCTGGCCCAGAGCAGGCCCGAGGAGTAAGGTCCTACCGCCCGTGGGTGGAGGGACTCACAGAGTCTCCCTGCTGCGGTGACCACCGCAGTCATGAGCACGTGGAAGGAGCTGCAGCGAGAAGAACGGGAGTTTCTCCCTTCACCCTTTCCCCAGCACTGTGGGTCTCCTGGGCCTGTGACTCGTGCAGTAATGCATCCGTTTAGCCACATATCTAGGGAGCGAGTACCTACTACAACGCCAGGCAATTCAACCCAACGCCCAGCCCCCCTGACATCTGTGGCGTGGGCCTCATCCTGCCTGCCCCACCGGCCTCCTGAGACTCCCCACACAGCCCCAGAACGGACTCCTTAAAGCCTCAGTTTTGCTCCTGGAAGAGGAAAGCTTGCCAGCTTTGTACTTCCCGCTGGCAGTGAATGCCATCCTATCTGCCAACCTATGTCAGGGTTAGACTCTGCAGCCTGGAGGCAGAGCTGGAAGGGGATCTGAGAACACCCAGCCCAAGCCCCTCAGGAGCAGACTGAGGCCTAGGGGTGAGGGTCCCACCAGCCACACGGCCTGCCCTCCCTCCACGGCCTGGGTAACAGGAAGACGAGGGCCGGAACTCCCTGTTCCTGCTCTCAATTCACTGGTCTCTTCTCATACCATGGTTCCCCGGACATTCAAAGAAAATCTAAGAGAAAAGTGGCTCCACACATCTGACTTCAAAGTGCTGCCTCAGATGCCGACTCGGGGCTCTCTCCCACTGGCACCTCGGGGCTCCTGCCCAGGAGCAGGAGAAAGGTCCAGATCGTGCAGCTGTATAGCCAGAGCCCCTGAGACGCGCGGTCACCAATCCTGTGACCTCGCCCACTGGTACCTCTAGCAGCCTTATCCAAGACCCAAAGGTTCTGTGGTGACTAGTTTCCTTCCAGTTCAGGAATTATGTCTTCAAAGCCAATGGCTGTCACCTGTTACCTTTATGCACACAGACACTCGACCGGTGCCGTCCGTCTGCCGTGACCACCTGGGTGCACCGTGCAGGACGCCGACAACCCAGCACACATCTTTCCAGCATGAGTTCTGGCCACTAAATTGATTCCCGACTTCCCTACTCCCGCTCATCTCCCAGGTTGCTCACCTAGTATTCATTCTCCTTGTTCTGCGTATGTGTTGAGTCATCTCAAACCTTTTGGGGAAGGATTGAATAAACAGCTGGTTTGAACAGGAAAGTGAAAAGGAAGTGCCAGTTGGGCAAATATTTGTACTGTGTGTCTGCTTTAACTCAGTGGCAGGAAAGTCCTAAAAAAGAAGACTAATAGGAATAATCTACATAGAAAATATTAATAACGCCGTTAGAGGCTGGGCAAATAGTGAGGATTCTCAACATCCACACAGCTCATCAGAACAGACCCTGCCTGTGCCGGCCACAGGTAGCGGGCCCAGCTCTGCTGGCCGGCGGTGTCCATCACCAACCATGGCCGGCAGGCAGGAGGCGGGACCTTTGCTCTCCTGAGCCCAGCCACCTGTGCATCCTCCGGCCACTGTAGCCTTGGTTTCTATACTCTAAAGTGAATCTTAGCCGGGCAAGGTGGTGCACACAGGCAATCCCAGAACTCAACAGGCTAAAGACCAGCAAGAGTTTAAAGCCAGTCTGGGCTACAAAGTGAGTCCAAAGCCAACCTAACTGCATAGTGAAACCCTGTCTAAAATCAATCAATCAATCAATCAATCAATCAATCTATGATTTACAGTCCACTTTATTTTAACATGGCTTAGTTTCCATTATGTTGGGAGCCAGGGAAGCTGGAAAATTAGTCAAATGTGTGTAAGCAGGACGAGGCCTCAGCGTGTAAAGCAGACAAGCTACCTCAGTCCTGAGAGAAGCATCCTGACTGGTTAATGTCGGCTATAAGCCACTCGGCAACTTTGTGTTACTAACTTTGCAAAGGTATAAATAAATGTCTACATTGTTGCTTGGGGGATCATCTCACCAGCCAGGCAGAGGAGCCACCTCCTAGCCCCGCTCTTGTCTTCCTGTCTATCTTTTCCTCACTCCTGCCACCCTTTCTCCCCAGGAAGAATGGATCATACTGAGACCCACAGATCCCTACATCTGGCGCTGATTAGGATGTGCGGTATGAGATCAGCATGGGCAGCAGGAACACCTCCAAAGAGCATGTGTAAGGGAGGGAGGTGCACTGGTTAGAGCCAACAGGACTCAGCACAGGCGTGCATTAGTGCTGTAGCACTAGGTGTAAAACCTGGGGAAGGACGCTCACTAGGGCCAGGAACGGGCTCACTAGGGCCAGAGAGATACAGGAGCACAAAGAGAGAATGAGGCATGGAGGAGCCTGACAGGGAAATTTTAGCTTGAGTTAACAATGGGAAAAACATCTTCAGGAACCGTAGATGTTTATAGATGTATTTTGTTGTTTTCTTGTTTCCTATATTTGCGTTACTTTCTAAGACCACCACAAAGGACTTCGCGTGGAATACTGTTTTCAAATTAAGTCCCAAATGGGACAAGGAGGGCAGAGCGAAGGTGTAGCAGATAAGAGTTTAAACCCTCTAGTTTTGCTCAATTAGATAAAAAAAGGAAAAAGTTCTTTTAAATTGCAAGCAGTTGGTTCCAAGTAGCACAGTGCTGGGGGGTGGAGGGGCACAAGCTGGGCTCAGAGGCCTCCGTGCTCCAGTCTTAGGCAGACCCAGCTGTGGTTCCCCAGCCACTTGTGCATCTGTGTGCCCCATCGAGCCGCAGAGGTTGGTGCCTACCACCAACTACAGCCCTGTGCACCTGATGCTAAGTAGGAGGGTCATGACTGTGGCACACTGTGGCCTTGGCACTGGCTGTGCGCGTTGCTGGCGTTGCAAATTTGTTAGGCCCAAGACAGTGTCAATGTTTAAAATCTGGGCAAAAACAAAACATCCAATGGTCACAGCCAGAGCAACCACAGGCACAGAGTGGCTGCACACAGCGACCATTGAAGCCCAGAGAAATTTTGCTGAGTCACAGATGGGAACTTCCACCTCAAGGGAAGTAGGGCCATTCTCTTTATCTCCCTTGCAATTGGCATTAAAAGAAGCAAGACAGGCCGGAGGGCTTTCAACATATCTACCGTTTCTGAAGTTCAAGCCCTCCATGGAGGGCTTTCAACATATCTACCGTTTCTGAAGTTCAAGTCCCTAATGATCTGGGACAAGTTGCACGTCTTCATGAAGCTGTACCTTTTAAAACCTTAAAATAATGAAAGGAAGCTGTTGCTACTTACGGCCCTACTTTACCTGAGTGTGGTAGAAATGCTAGGACTACAGACTATGCCCCAAATGACTGGAAAGGAATAGCTAAAGTGTGCTTGCGGCCCGGAGACTATTGTGGGAAGGAAATTTCTTTGACTATTGCATGGAACAGGCAGCTTGAAATGCGGTTCACAGCTTAGCCATTACAAACAATATGCTAACTGGGGA